AGGCTGGGCCTCCCTCAAAAGAAAAAAAAAAAAAAAAAAAACACCCCCCAAAAAAAAAAAAGGCTGGGCCTCCCTCCTGAGAAAAAAAAAAAAAAAAAAAAAAAAAAAAAAAGAGAGAGAAAAGATAGAAGCAGACATGCCATCATCCCTTCTGGACAACAGAGTCCGTATACGGTTTATTTTCAGTCACAATTCATCCTGCGTTGAGGGAGACTTGCAAGGACATTTTAGATTTTATTTATATACAAACCCAATAGTAATTAAAGGCTCAATTATGTCAGCTTCATATCTCTGCCTGCTGCAGTCATGCAGCTCCTTCTGGTTTTAAATGGGTACAGTCTGAGCAGAGCTAAAGGGACCGCTGTCTTTGCAGCCATCTGGTCTCCGCTGCCTGCCCTGGAGAGCAGCACATCAAACTAAAACCACTCTTTCTCTCTCCCCATCTCTCCCAGGGGTCTCCACAGCTGAGGTTAGGACGAGGACGCGATCCGCTTCTTCTCCACCTGCCCATCATCGGACCGAGTGCCCTGGTGCCGGCCACCCTCGGGTCGTCTCATCCAGGACGGGTGCCAAAACAATAAGTCTTGACCTGCCGCCCCTGAGAAGACCTGCGCTAAACAAATATTTGGGGCCATTGTATCTCATTTCACCGGGCAGCCACCACCAAGAAGATCAACAGTGAAGGGTGCAGTTAAGAGACGAAACGAGAGAAGCGAAGAGAGGGGGAGGAAGAAGTAACCCTTCCAAAGTGCACCCCTGCCTATTTCTGCCACGCTGTGGGCAGGGAGCATCTTATTTGGGAGCTCTGCTGGCTGACAAAAAAAGCACTTCCCCATTGCCTGCCTGGTCAGATGCCTGGGTAAATGCTAGATAGAGATATCAATTAGTCTGAGTTCTTCCACCGCCCAACAAAGAGACTGTGAGCTATCTATAGAAAACATAGCAACAAACTTGGACTTTGCGGTCACTTGAATTACCACTTCTTCATAACCCTTTCAGAAAGTTTCGAGAGCTGTGAGAAACAGGAATGAGAGTCGCTGCGATTTTTCACTTTTAGAAACTTCTCCAAAGCCAACAGCAGCTCACTGTGGGGACCGGAAGCTCAGAGCCAGTTTAGAAGCTGCAGTTTTGATGTCTTTCCCAGCTCAGTAAGGTAACATGAAACCCCTCACTCCAATTGGGTCCCCCTCTCCTCTCAGGCTGCTGAACAAGGGTCCGGATTACCTACGCAGGCAGATCGACGGTGGGGGTCACGGCCGTTCGGTCAGCGCTGTGGAGAGGCTTGAGGCCGACAAAGCCAAATACGTCAAGAGTCAGCAGGTGATCAACACCAAACAAGAACCTGTGCTTGTGCCCTGTGCCACGCCACCACCGCAGCCTCGGAGAGCCATCTCTGTCCCCGGTAGCTTGACCCCTCGCTCTTCCCCGCGGCGGTCCAACACCCCCTTCTCCACTCTCTCTGGCTCCTTCACCTCAAAAGACGAAAATGAAAATGATGATGCCAGAAAGGAGAACAGACAGACTTCTACTGACATCAAAACACACAACAGGAGCAACGTGAGCAAAGTTATGCCTCCAAGTCCCAGGACGCCTGGAATCAACGGCCTGGTAGCGCCACACAGTGCCCCAGTTCTCAGAAGGAGTACAGGCAAGCGCATGCTGAGGCCAGACTCCCTGTTAATATACAGGCAGAAGAAAGAGTGCAAAAGCCCCAACAGCTCCACACTGGGAGAGACCAATAACATGGAGCTGAAGGGATACAGTTTTGTACGTCGCCTCTTCCAGGGTTCAATGAGAGAAAAGAGCGGCGGAGGAGAAAGAGTTCAGAAGATGGTGATAGGTGACGAGAAAGCACCCTCACGGGATGGGGACTCTAGAATGTCTTGGACCAACGACAAAGATGTCACAGATGGAGGACCAATGAGTCGAAGGTCAAGCAAGACAGACCAAGAACGCACCCCAGAGTCTATCCAAAGTCCAGGTTTTAACTGCACGTTAGAAAACACAAAGAATGGTTTTATTAATGGCGCCACCGACCAAACAGACATTAGGCACGATGATGAGAGTGATCCATGGAAGCGTGCTTTCCCGATGCCACAGAGAAGGCAGTTTGGAGAGCTGCTGCGCTCCAAGTCAGACCTGCGGTTGCGCTGTTCGGTAGCTTTGTCAGAGCAGGAGCATTTCTTTGACTTCTGTGGACTGGACATGGACATGATAGAGCGTCTGGGCCGGGAGAACTTCCTCTCTTACGCCAGCTCAATAGACACACTTTCCTTGGCTCTGCGGAGCGTAGGAGGGGACGGCTGTGGCGGCTCAGAGCCCAGCGAGTTTTCCCGTCACTCAGGAGACGGACTGTTTCAGGAAGAACTGGCAGAGCAGCTTCCCACTGGCGTGTCCATCATCGAGAGAAATGCCCGCGTCATTAAGTGGCTGTATGGGTGCAAGAATGCAGCTCAGGAAGGACCCAAAGAGTCAACTGTATAGTATGAGGATTGAAGATTTGCAGTTGGAACCAGAAGTTTGCATACACTGTACACAGTCTTTATATTTCCCCGACATTTGATTTGTATTCTCCCAATATTTTGCTGGACGTTTGGCCCATTCCTCCTGACAGAACTGGTGTCACTGGGTCATTTTTGTTGGCTCCCTTGCTTACATCAACCCTAATTGACATAAAACTGGAAAAGTTTCGTATGATTTCATGTCAAACAGTGAAGATAAACATAAAATATCTCTTTATGCAGTGTATCAAAACATCTGGTTTCAACTGTATGTGCCATGGAATGCTTAACGTTTCTTTTCACATAAACTGTAAGCCAGTGTTTAAGTGCATTCTTAAAAGTACCAATTAAACTAATTAGTAAATTCAACAGATGAAGGATCTAGTTTTGCTCATCAGTCTATAAACCAGAGGTAAAGGGACAAAGCGTACCAGTTTTCAATTTAAACATTTTCAGGCATTAAAACAGGATCCATACAGCAGAGGATTAGATTAACATTGAGCTGACTGATAACTTTTCCAACACCAAATGCTAATGTGTTTCTTGTATTACGTGTATATGTACTGTTTGTTTTTTTTTGTTTTTTTCTTAAGTTGTGTGGTAAATACTAAAGAACCACCTACCGGTTCTTTAGTATTTACTCATTAACACTAACAACAGCTTCTGTATAATTATTGCAAGCTTAAAATTTAGCACGTAGTTGTTGATTAGCTCAAAGGTTGATGCATTTAACAGGTCTTATGTCTGGAATTTGTTGGACTTTTACATGTTTCTCAGAAGATTTTGAAATACACGTCTGTTCAAATGAAGTTCCTGGAGCTTCATAATGAAAAACTACGGCCTTCATGTATCTGCTTTGTACTTTCATTTAACTAAAATCAGTGTTACTGGCATTCCATGGCACATAGTTACCTTTAGTTCCTTTACTGTAGAACAGCTGATAGTTTCATCTTGTCGGATTTAAATGTTGTATTTATAGAACCTAGCGACTATTTTGTGTGAGTGTGAACTGTCCTTACTCTCCAAGTGTAGCTTGATAGCATCAGTGGGTGAGTGATGTGGACATTATGCTTTACATGTCAAGTTTCTTTTCAGTATTTTTTAAATTGTTTTTGGCAGAACTGGATTCTGAGCAGACTTGAATTCCCCATGAAACCCCTCAAAAGGCACATAGAGGTTTGAAACATGCTTAAAGGTTGTTACTTTTGACAGTAATGCTCCCTCGTACTGAGTAATTTAAAAACCACTAAGCTATATTTTTCTTTGTATAAAAAAATATAGCTAAAAAATATAGCTTGTAAAAAAAGTAAACGGGGTGCGTGTGAGAGTGAAGTGAACTGTGTACCTCATTTGAATCTGTCCCAGTTGAGTTTGTTTCTCTTTCCTTCTTTTTTCTCTTGCAATTTTAGTCTTTGAACGCAGGCGTTGGAATAAACTCGTGAGACGCTCCTGTGGGGTGTGTGATTGCACTGAACTGGACAGATAGAGGAAATTAGAGAGTGTAAAAATCAGCAGGATGTTTAACACTGAGCTGGATTCAGAAGAACATCAGCATCCAGAACAACTAGAAACAATATTTGGCCAAATTAATATTTTTTTACTTCATTTTTTTGAACTGCTTACAAAGGTCAAGAAAATTATTTAAAGTTGAGGTCATTGCATTTCATTTTACGCCGGTCTAGTGACTATTGTGTAAGTTTCTGATTCACAAACCACGATACACATGGAAAACCTGGGTTAATATCCCATCCTGTAAGGACTTTGAACTGGAATCCTTCAAACTAATATGTTCAACTCTGTTTGAAAAGAGGCAGAAGTTGTTAAATGTTGAAGGGAGTCACTTTCACCATCTGTTAGTTTACAGATGTTTAACCCATGCAGCTGGTCCATGAAAGCATGCAGGGGAGGATGAACCAACTTTCCTCCCACTGCTAAGCACACATCCTACCTCACTCCATCCATTTCTCACTGCTTCACACTTTATCTCCCTGAAAGGTCATTCCCATTTCTTGCCCTGGAGGATGCCACTGCAATCTGTTAAAGTATGTGGAGGTTAGCCTGCGAGGACTCGTGTGCTGAGCGCTAACCAAAAATGATGGGCTTAGTTTATTTATACATGTCATAAATTAAAACTTGCAGCCTTGATGTTTTTCTGTATTTGTCACGAGCACGACACACTTCTGAAGCGGCTTTTACATAGACCTATTTTTATTGCATGTTTACAAAGTGGCTCTAAAATTTGGTGTATATGAGAGAGATTTGTTTTTTATTCCAAAACGGTTTTGTGTATGGTGTACACAGCTAATAAAAGCAGAAAAGTGAAACCAATTGTGTTGTCTTTCACTGTTGTCGCTTTCATTTATTTCACAGGCGTTATAGAGCAAAATCCACACTATGAAACTTTAAGCTTTACAGTTTCACATGGGCATCACATCTAAAAACTATAATATTGTGAAAAATGCAATATTTCTTACCCATCACCTCAGTGAAGCTCATATTCTACGTATATCAGTGGTGCCCAAAGTCAAGCGGAGGCCAAACTAAGTATTTAGTTCGTAGAAGCCTGACATTTGTGCTTAAAACGTGAATTCTTTATTGGACTAAAGTGATTTTCTGATTTTCGGAGACACTGAATTTTGGGTTTTCTTAACATAGACATGATAATCGTCAAAATTGTAAAAATAAAAGCTTGAAATATTTTTGTCTATTTGTAATGAATCTGTATCAAATTACTGTTTCACTTTCTGGATGACTGGCAAGAAATCTAGCACTTTTACACAATCTTAAAAATTTTTGAGAAATATCAGCACATGCTTATTTGTACGTCACATGTCAACAAAAAAGTGTTTTGCATATCATACACTTTTACTTTCACATCTAGTTAATCACACTGGCACAATTATCGACATGCACACGTTATCTCAGCTCAGTCTTGCGTAACATCGTCTCACCCTTGACTCTTTCCCAGGCCTTCAAACCGCTTCATAAAATTTTATTTTTCACATTGTCTCACCAGGCTGGGCGCTAATCCGTTTAGCATTCCCTGCATAGCATGGTGTTTGGAGAGCTGCAGCAGGTTGAGCTGGAAGACAAGGAGTCCTGTGTGTGGCCTGATGCTACATCTGGGAGCAAACCCTCCACCTTGTCTGCAGCCTCCTCCTGACACTCTTTGTCCCCTCTCTGAGTCAGCCGTTGTTTTCAGACATTCCAGCTCAATGTGGCCGGCTAGAAATCTTAGGAGGTATATCTGATCGTCCCTTTTGTTTCATTTTGATTTTGAGATCTAAAAAATGAAAAGTGAAACATTAGCAAGTGGATCCTGTTGCCTGTGAAATGTATTTATACAACACTTAAAGAGAGAAAAAAAATGTTCTTACAATAAATGTTTAATGTTGCAATGAGATAATCCATTGTACAAACATGAAAACTGTCTTTTGTTTTGAGCAACGTTTTCACATTAAAATATGTTGTTTTTTTTTTGTTAGAACATAATATTTGGTTACCTGCCTCCCAATGTAAAAAAAAAAAAAAACAATCTAAAATCAAAGTACATTATTATAACAATATTTTTTTGATGTTAGCACAATAAATGATCATGTTAATACAATGTACTAACCGGATTCCAAAAAAGTTGGGACACTAAACAAATTGTGAATAAAAACTGAATGCAATGATGTGGAGGTGCCAACATCTAATATTTTATTCACAATAGAACACAAATCACAGATCAAAAGTTTAAACTGAGAGAATTTATCATTTTAAAGGAAAATATGTTGTTTCAAAATTTCATGACGTCAATAAATCCCAAAAAAGTTGGGACAAGGTCATTTTTACCACTGTGTGGTATCTCCCCTTCTTCTTACAACACTCAACAGACGTCTGGGGACAGAGGAGACCAGTTTCTCAAGTTTAGAAATAGGAATGCTCTCCCATTCATGTCTAATACAGGCCTCTAACTGTTCGATCGTCTTGGTCCTTCTTTGTCGCACCTTCCTCTTTATGATGCACCAAATGTTCTCTATAGGTGAAAGATCTGGACTGCAGGCTGGACATTTCAGTACCTGGATCCTTCTCTTACATAGCCATGATGTTGTTATTGCTGCAGAATGTGGTCTGGCATTATCTTGTTGAAAAATGCAGGGTCTTCCCTGAAAGAAATGACGTCTAGATGATTTACTTTGCCTGGTAACTTAAAATATTTGTATGTTTTGCTCATGGTAATTTGGTAAAACAAGAAAAAAAAAATCCCAATTTTGCATATTCATTTCAAACAAAATTCATTTTTTACTTTCAAGAACGTTACACACCTCTGGTCTTGTAGCGGTCAAGCTTTTAAATTCTTCACAAAATGGAAATAGAATAATACTTTTTATTAATCTGACAACCAAAGAAGCAGCATTAATAATTCAAAACACTAATAACATGTAGCCTTTACCAGAACAGCTCAGAGGAGAGACTTGATCACATTCTGAAACGTTTCATTAAACGACACACAAAGTAGTTCAAGGACATCTCATAGCACCACTTCAGGCTGCTGGCTGTACAATACTTTGCAAGCTTGTAATAACTACAATAACTTCACATTTAACCATGAACACAGTGTTTCCTTTGTGCTGCATTGTCTTCCCACACACAGAATAAAGCCAAATCCCTCCTGTGTGGCTGAGTCTCAGTCACTTACTCTGACCAGAGGGCCTGCTGTGACATCCTGTTTTGGGTTCACGGGACAAGCTTTAAGCATATGGTCGTGTTTTGAGCTGGGCCTCCTCTCCCTCTGTCTGCACTGGAAATAAACAGATAACAGCTGGCAGGGAGCTACTCGGGTCTGACTGCTACACAGCCGACGTGGTTTACATCAGTCTGGTGCTGAGCAAGCAAAGTTTTTGTGGGGGGGGGGAGGAAGTCGAGTCGGGTGTACCTGTTTATGACTCAGTGTGTTTGCAAGTAGAAAAAAAAAATGGTCTGGTCGTTTGAAAAGAGGATGGCAAACTAGCGGGAGTCTGAGCTTTGAAGCCGCAGATGCTTTTGTTGTTGTTGTTGTTGTTTTTCCTCTCACACAGGCTTTGACTCTGCACTTTTGTTCACCAAAAAAGTTTTCACCCACTTCTAATTTGTTACACAATCATTTTAGTAAAATTTCTTTACAGCAGTTTGACACTTGTGCTAACTTTTTAAGTCCCCAAAAATCAAAGGGCTCAGAACGAATCCAGATTTTTTTTTTTTTGTGTGTGTGTGTGTTTCGGAGGGACTTCCTGTTGCGATGACATTTGTAGCTTTTGATTTTTTTTTTTTTTTCCTCTGTGCCCTGAGCAGCAGTAATGTGTGTCAGAGTTAGCATGGGTTGTGAAGTGTGTCAAATCTGGCCTAGTTCTTCTGCATCAGCAGCTGCAGCAGACTGCCCATGTGAGTGAGGAGCTTGGTTCATGACTCAGGGACTCAAACATGAAACATCCAGACAGAACTATTCATTAGCGAGTGCAAATTTAATGAAAGACGTTCTCAAAACATCTAAAATGTACACCTAGATGAGACTGTCTGTTGCAGCAGGAGTGGTTTTGTGCACTGTTGAGTCAAAATCTCTAAATCGTGCTTTGGGGAAAAACAAACATAAATCAACGTAGTAATTTAGTCATAACTAGAGATTGTATGAAAAGAGGAAACAATGTATTGCCTTTACAGAGAAATCTTTTCAGTGAGGAGGATTTTAATTCCAGATGTGAATGGTTGTTGTTCAGCTTGTCCACTTACATCTGAATCAGCTTGAGCACTTGTTGATGTACGGTCTGAACAGGCCCAACGGCTAAATGAAAGATTTAATTTGGTGATTATATATGCATCAAGGTGTTTCAGCTTCCCAAGCTGTACTTCCTTTGAAATATTTTACATAGGCTTTATGAAAAAAAAAAGCAAGATTTTCTGCAAATAATTAGGAAATACATTCCACAAGAAAAGCGGACGCTTCAGCCTTTGACCTAATCTCGAATACTAAACCGTGACAAGGCGAATAGGGGTTGTGACACTGTTTAAAAGAAACTCAAATGTTTTCCTCACTGAAATGAAGCTGCTTAGAGTCCATATCCATGAATTTGTGCTGCCTAAACCACTAATCCATGAAACAGTGAGTGGTGAAAGAAAAAGGATTAGAAAACATATGTTTATAGGCAACTGCTTATATCTGTGTAACAAATTTTAGGGCTTGATATGATCTCAAAAAGTAGAAATAAGTGGATTGTTTTATTTTTTTAAATAAATGTCACAATCTGTGGCAGGAAATTATGAATAACAGCTGAGGCACTGAATCCAAACAGTTTGAGTTAATCCAGATATAGTTTTTAAACTGAAATGTTTTTTGACGGACTGAGATAAAATCTTTTAAGACGAAGTTTAGGAATGACAGAAACGATCAAAATATATTAGCTAAATCTGCTATTCGATTTTGGTTTAAGTGGTGGTTTATATCCAGGAATGCAGTGAAAATATCCACTGTACTGTACCTGGTTTTTGTCCTGACACAGAACAAAGACATTCAAAAGGCTGTTTTTAACTTTCAGGAACATGCCTCACAGCTCAGGATGTCTACTTCTCCTCCAAACTGTCAAAGCTTCACATTTTGAGAAGCCGCTGCAACTTCTGTAACAAGACCCTCTCTTGAGCTGAAGGTATCTACAGTGGGTCATAAATCAGAGTCCTTTTCATTCCCCTCTCTGATGCGTGACCCCTGCTTCCCGGGGGGTCAGGGAGAAGAGAGGAGTCTGTGCCTCGTGGGAAACCTGAGCAGAGTCTCCTCAAATAACAGAGTGACGTCAGAAAGGGCCGCCTGAAGGCCTCCGACCCACCTGAAACATAAATGAAGGGGAGGAAGATGCTTTATGTGTTTTAGTGAGGAAAAAAAAAAACATTTGTTGACCTTCACTATTGTAAAAGAACACATATTCCCACTGAAAAGGATATTGACTTCCTTTTACTTTGTTTTCATTTCCTGTTACTTGATCTGGGTGTTGTTTAGTTTAGATTCTTTCAACTTCTGTTCAGCTTTAAAAGTAAATCCTATATGCAGGGAATCAGTAATACAGGAAAAACACAAATGAAAAGGTGCATTTTTAAGTTTAGGGAAAAAGTGAATGATATCTTTGACGTACCAGAATGTGTTGGTATTTGTTTATGCTTATACTAATAAGTATAAAGGGATTATGAAGCGCTTCCTAAAAATGGTTTCTCAGCTGACCACAAACTCATGCATCACTTTAACTCTTGATATCCAAGACTGATGCTTGTGACAGATGGAAACTTTAATATCCCAAAAATTCAACAAAAGATTCCTGTGATGG